GGGCGGTGAATAGACTTTTAAACCATTTTCGCGAATACAACAATTGTTGAGGTGATAGAGAAACCAAAACTCTTAACTAGATTGTTAGAGTCTTGTGCATAGCGGAATAATAAAGTAAGTGTTGTGTGATTGTGTCAAGTATATCCACGTGATAAGCAGTAAGTAAATAAAGCAGTAAATGACACAAGGCAATTTATAGTGGTTCGGAGGTGATGTAATCCCCCTACTCCACTTGCTCTTATCGTCTAAGAGCAATTCACTATATCCACCACTTCTTGGTTCCTAGATACAATGAATTTCCGTGATCTAGTGCTTTGATCACTAAGCCCACACTAATCACACCCAGTGCCTCCAACACTGCTGCTTCGGATTTCACAGCTCCGTGCTACTTTCTAGGATTTCACAGCTCCGTGCTACTTTCCCCCATCTTCCACGATCCGGTCGACGTATCCCGTGATCTGGTGCTTTGATCACCAAGCCCACACCAATCACGCCCAGTGCCTCCGACACTGCTGCTTCGGATCTCACAGCTCCGTGTGACAATCCAGGATTTCACAACTCCGTGTTACTTTCCCCCCGTCTTCGACGTATCCCGTGATCTAGTGCTTTGATCACAAAGCCCGCACTAATCACGCCCAGTGCCTCCGACACTGCTGTATCACTTGTTTGTAGAAAAACAAGTTTCACTAGCTTCCAACTTTGAGACTTCTTGAATGGATTTTCAATATGCAGTAAGTCTCTCAATGATGAAGAATTTAAACACTCTTGAATATTTTCTCTTTGAGCTCTGAGTGTTTTTCTCACTTGAATATTTTCTCACTTTTGAGTATAACACTTGTTCGTATGAATCTGTTCGTTGCTTGTGTTGGAAGTACTTTCATCTGCTTCAATCTTCATCTTTTTATACCTGGTTTTGAGAATTTGTCCGTTGGAAAAAGACAATCTCAAATTTGAATTGTAGATCTCACATTTGAATTCTTGTAGCCTTTGCAGAGGATCTGTAGCTTCTTCAGAAGATCTTATTAAAAATAATATCTCTGACATTTGAGATAATTCAGTCGTTGCTTAGCTCTTTGTCCATGTGAAGAGACTCTTAAAATATTTCTGATGCAGATCGTGTCTTCACGTGAAGGTGCTCTTAAAATAATTCTGATGTAGATCATGCCTTCTGGGACTTTCATATTCTGAGTATTTTAATCTCTGTGTATGGGTTACTGATGAAGTTGTTTGTGTTACTGATAAAGTTGTTTCGGCCAATGAGATCTCTTGATCTTGGTCTCATACTGGTGGTGAGATTTCAATCCTTGATTGAAACTTCATCTCTAACTTCAGCTCTTACTATATATAGCCTTTGAAACTTCTTCTCTAACTTCAACTCTTACTATATATAGTTTGATGAAACTTCATCTCTATTGACTTTGACTTGCAAACTTCTCCTTGTACTTCATCTCATACTGCATCTCTAACTTCATCTTATTGACTTGCAAACCGCATTTCTTACTTGGTCTCCAACCGCATCTCTTACTTCGTCATCTCTTCTTTAGTTTCGAAACCTCTTTTGAAACTTCAGCTCCCTTCTTAGTTTCTTTAGTTTCGAAACTTCAGCTCCTACTTCATCTCCTTCTTAGTTTCGAAGTCCTACTTCATCTCCTTCTTAGTTTTGAATTACTTTTGAGTTTCGAATTACTTTTGAAACCTCAGCTCCTACTTCATCTCATAGAGCTGATTTTGGCTCCTTTAATTTTGCCTTATAAAATTATAGAGAATGAGTTTCGAACCTGAACCTTGGGGTTTATACATCAAGCTTTCATCTATTTCGCTTGTACAGATTATTAGTCATTGTAGCATTCTCCTTGATGTATTTCTTTCTTTCCATAGCTTCATGCAATCTCGTTTGCTTCTCGTTTCTTCGTATGAGATCATCAGTATGACTTCTTCTTTGAGTTGGGGCATGTGGGCTTAGTTAAGTATACATATCATATGCATACATCTCCTTCTTCGTATTTTCCATTTTTCTATATTTGTTAATTTTCCTTTCATGGTCTATGACACGCCTAGACTTAACAAATAAAATTGGGGATTCTAAAATACAATTTGGCATATCAAAATCTATTACAATATATTCCTAACAATTTCCCCCCTTTTGATAATGTCAAAATCCTATACTTCGTCATTGGCTTTAAGTCTTTTGAAAAAATATTTTTGCTCAATTTTATTTGACAAAGTCATGATGAGTTTAACAAATATTTTCTAGGAAAATAAATTGACTCGTGAATTAATTTTAGACAAGTTCCTAATACGCATTTTCATATTTAATTCTAGTCATTTTTCTCTTTTGTTATGTGTTTTACATGCTTGTCTTTTAATTCACATTCTAAATACAAGTTAAGATATCAAAAAGAAATATAGACCACTTTAGGAAATTAACATAACTTGTATGATCATAATAAGGAAAAATACTTGATAATTTCGAAACAGTAGTTTTACAAAACAAACCCGATGATGTTTAGCAAACTGAAAAGACTCACAATTTAAAGATGATACATTACGAATTTGCGGACACCTCTTTTTTAACAAGAGTAAAGAAGGGTGACATAAACAACAATGGGCTTCCAAGGGACTACCCATCCCAAAACAGGCAATAATCCCTGGAACATAAGAATCAAGAATATAGAGACAACCAGACTCATGTCCTTTACCAATAATCCGCTTCGTCGCAAGATCCTGAAACACACAGTGAGTATGGAAAAAGGTTACAACACAATTCAAAGCATGAGTGATTTGACTAACAGAAATCAAATTAAAAGACAAGTTGGGAAGGCTCAAAACAGATGATAACGGGAGCTCCAGAGTTGGATTAGTAGTGCCAATCCCAAGCACCCTAGATGTGGATCCATCAGCAAAAGTAACATGGGATGTGGATGGAGAAGATTGAAAGGTAGATAGGAGGCAAGAATTACATGACATGATCCGTGGCACCTGAATCGATAATCCACTTGGACGCTGAAGAGACAAGGCAAGTATTGGGATTACCTGAGGTGGAAGTGTCTACGATTGAGGTAGAAGATGAAGATTCTTGGTATTTGAGAAACGTAGCATAGTCATCTGCAAAGATTAAAACCGTTTTCTCATAATTAGCATTTGGGTTTGCAAACTTATTCCCTGATTTCTATTATGAAGCTTTCGGAAATCCTTCTTCATATGACATGGTTTCTGACAATAGTGACATACTATTGTATTTGAATGTTGTCCATGAGTGTCCCTATTTTGGTAAGACTGCCTCCCCGACTCTCCCCTTGATTTCTTACTCACAAGCACACTACTCAACTGAGGAGGGTGAAAAATCTTTGTGCGTAGTACTCTAGAGAAACATCGGATAGAGATTTGAGCTCCTCACTAGACAACACCTGGGATTTGGCCGGTTCTAACCGAGGTGGAGTCCAGCTAAAGAACTCATTATAGACATCTTTTCTCGTTGCTTCTGCTATTCTTTGGTATCCGATGTGAATGACATTAATTCATTAAGAGCATCATATGTTTTTTTGAATTCCATAAAATATGTCTGCAGAGGTTTATCAAGCATCTCGACCCGATAAAAGGACTTACAAACGGCATATATTTGAATAATGTTGCCCTTACTCGAATTAAAAAAAAAATCTAAATAATCTAATAGCTCTTTAATAGTCTCACAGTGACTGACAAAACCAAAGACTTAAGAATCAATGGAATTCCTCATCTGAAGAAATAATTTGGCATCATCACCCAACCAATTTGTTTATCCTTTTCATCCTAGCAAATTTTACTGTGGACCATGGTCCAAAGTGTCGTTTCTTTTAATGAAAAGAAACGGCACCCGTTCCGCGTAATTAGTTCTGTTTGTATAACATATTCAGTTTCATTTTATATACATTGTAGTGTCATTTCAACACAACTAAAGTTTCATTTTGTTTCAACTATAGTTTCATTCGACATTATTCATACAATAGTCTTATTTTTGTGAGACATGTTATTGAATTTCATTTTATACATATTGTAGTTTTATAACAACACTACTAAATTGTAATTCTAATTCACCTACGGTTTCATTGGACAATATACACTTCAAATATGTGAAATTGTTATTCAGTTTCATTTTATATACAATATAGTTTCATTACAACACAACTAAAGTATCATTTTGATATAACTACAATTTCATATGACAATATACACTCAATGTGAGACATGTTATTCAGTTTCTTTTTATATATACTGTAGTTTCATTTCAGCAAAATTAAAGTATCATTTCAATTCAACTATACTTCTATTTGACAATATACACTCAATATGTGAGACATGTTATTCAGTTTCATTTTAGACATACGACAGTTTTATTTCAACACAACTAAAGTATCATTTCAATTCAATTACAGTTTCATTTGATAATATAAACACAATATGTGCAAGACAAGTTATCAAGTTTTATTTTAGATACACTATAGTTTCATTTTATTATAAACACACCAAAAATACGGGATTTGTTAAAATTTAACGGCGGTCATTTCTTTTACTTAAAGAAATGGCGCCGTTTTCAAACCATGGTCCACAGTATAACAACCGTTTCATCCTCAGGTAGGTTATTAGTCATATGGGCATCTTTGTGAATACTACACAAATATATTTTAATGGTTTGTTTCCATTCTAGATAATTGGAACCATTGAGTTTGTGTTTTGTAATTCTTGCATTAACTGAAAGAATATCAACAAACTCAATATTTTACTTAAGAATACACTGCCCTATATAAATACATACTACTCAAATCCCTATGTATATGGTTTCATATGCTATTAGAATAGGTTCCTATGGTTTCAACGGAGACTACAAAAGGCAAAACACTTCAGGGGGAAGAAGCTTGAGCCAGAGTTCTTTAGCGTCAGTGTCAGCTGGAAGACCAGACTTCTCATCACCCCCAAAATAAGTGGGCATAAATCCGATCAGCAGGCAGCTTATATACCTGTACAGCAATCAAATTCAGAGAAATGTGGATAAAAGTTGGGAATTTCAGATTTAATAGACACTAATGCAGGAGATAACATGCCTCTCTTTACTTTTTGGTGTGATTCAACAGACAAACTTTACTTTTTGACCAATTCATCATGACTGCTATTAATATTTTTGATATCAATTCAAGATCTGTTTCATTTTTTTGGCAGAATTTCGGTAGCACTCTTCATCTGCTTTAGTTTCAAGGTCAATCTCGCCAAAAGGACTGCTTTTGATGTGTTCTTGAACATCTTTTGCTGCAGCCAAAGTCTCCAAGTAACTAACAAATTTATTGTTTGGATCTGCAAGTGTTTGATTTTCTTGTTACTTAAACCATATGAGTAATATACTAGCAATATAAATACAGAACTAGAACAATTATTCTTACCCAAGTAGTTATCTGGACCTCCTTTATACGTCATAGGGATGATCAAATTATGATCCTAGATGGAGAAAGAAAAGATAAAAAGAGTATCATTAGCTAGATCAAATTAGAATAATACATCACATAATAAAACAAAGTTGCTATACTTACAGGATTTAAAAAAGATTTGTACTGAGAATCATCAATGAGTACAGTGTTTGATGGATTGAATTCTTTATACTCTTCCCAAACTTTATTTAAATCTTTAAACATTATTTTTTTTTTTGGATTGCCCTTGACACCCTCAGTTGAAATGGAGCAATAACTCTGATTCTGCATAATAAAAAGGAAAATATTACTCAAAAATTTTACCAAGAGATAGATTTTTTTTAGGTTAAAGAGGAACTTACCCACTGAAACAGGAAAGAAAGACCCTCCACATCAGACAACAGTTTTCGACATATACCATTGATATTTTGTTTGGATGACCAAACAGCAAGAGTGAAGTGTCTTGAGCAAAATTTCAAAAACTCCTTATAAAATGGTCGACGCATAGGCATTTTTCTATATACTGATTCATTTTACAAAACAAATCTAATCAGTTTGCCAGATAAATATATATATATGTATAAATTAGCTTAGAATTTTTAGTCAACCTGTTAAAACAAGCACTCCATTCAAATCAAAAATTAGAAGCTTCTTAGGTGGTTTATACTGCGCTTCCAGATCAGAAAGTTCCTTTTCAAGCTCAAAGGGACTTAATAACCGCTGCATTGCAATCTCCAAAATAAGAAGTTCTTTTGCTATGAAATTATAACCCTGTAAATACAAAACTTTAGCCCTGTGATATATATTAAAGGGGAAAAAAAACTATCATACAAGATGCGTTTTAGGCTTCATACTGGATATGGAATGGAAGGTTGGCATCCCATTGCCCAGCTCTGCATAAATTTTAGCATTAGTGGTCCACAACTGACAGCATCATTCTGCTTTGGGTATCCATTGACATAATAATATGTCCATTGTATATTTTTGCTAGTCAGCTCATTAACATTCCATCCCTACACCCAATAAATAAATAAATAAATAAAAATACTAAGATAAGTTATACATAGTAACTAAGACTGTACGTACTGCAAGTTCCTTAATTGGAGTATAGGAACATTCGGATCTCCCTATAGTATCCAAGACATAAATTTTCTCCTCTTCAACATCAGCAAAAACGCAGAACCAATGATCCTCAAAATTTATTGGTACAAAAATCTGCAAAGAAAAGGTTTAGACTCAAACTTAATAATGGCATAAACTTAGATAATACACGTGGTTACCTTTTTTGCTGCTTTGAAGTTCTCCCTAGGAAATTCATCAAGGAACAACATCGCATTTGTCTTGGGATGCTTATAGAAGCTCATGGTCTAAATGCAAGGCACAAATAATTTTGTTAGCCTCAAGGGTGTAATGAACAAGGAGGAGAGATTAATTCAAGTAGTGAAGAAGCAGGGCCAAAGTTCTAAAGTACAGAGTAAGAAAGTTGCAGCTTAAGGGATAGGGCACTAAAACGACACTGCTTGAAGCATGAGTTCTTCCCAAACTACCTGCTGAACTTCATTTCGTTTCCCTATTCCTCTATTTTTATATTTCTATTTTAGTCTCCAGGCCATCACAAATAAATTCCCATCTTACCCTGCTTGTCTGCAAGCAGTGAGCTTGAAATGGTGCGGCAAGCTATGGTGGCTGGAGGAATATTTGCCCTTATTTGAAATTCTTACAACTCCCTGTTGAATTTCTTCTCCCTATTCCTCAATTTTTGTATTTTTGTTTAGTCTCCAGGCAATCACAAAGGGAAAAATGATCATAAAAGAAAATAAGTAATTCAAGAATACTATAACTTACCCAGAGTTGACAGTTAACAAATGCATAATCCTTATATTCTTTCTGGAGTAACTTCAAGTAAATGTTTATCACCTACAATAATGAAAAAGATAGAATTTATAAATTCAAATATCACTTTAAAAGTTAATAACAAAAAGAGAAGATACGAGTTAAAAAGATCTTAACCTTATCATCAAATAATGAATCATAATCCATAGAAGATCTTAAGGTGCTCTTATTAACAAACCAAACATCATGTTTATCTGCAGTTGTCACCCAACTATAAAACATAGAACAAAAAATCAGATAACGGCCATATCCTTATTTAATAGAGCCAACAGATAAAAAATTAGATAGTCATATTCTTATTAAAGTCGAATAACAGCTTAGTAAGAGACTAAACCTCATATATTAAAATATTAAATAAAGCCAACAACCATCAACTTACTCATCTGCAAGAGAATTGAGGTAGCTATGCACAATGATTTTCAACGTGTGCACATCAAGCTCAGGCATTCCACTCTCCTTCAAGAATGCCAAACTGCTTAGTTCAACCTCACTCAACTTTTTTTTGCCTAAACTTTGTTCATGTTGATTCAATAGATCTTCCTATACAATGTAATTCAATATATATAAATATCAAATTCAAATATAGACAATAAAGTACTGGTTTCACTTATAAACATATGTTGCGTGTATATATATATATATATATATATATATAGCAGTGTCAAGCCGAACATTCAAAGAAAAATTTGAACTTTAATAGTAAGTAACTCTTCCAATGGCCACTATGTGTCTACTGGGTTCATCCAAATAAAACCTACCAAATCCACGGCACTTCAAACATTCAAAGAATGATTTGAACTTTAAAAGTAAATAACAACAACAATAACAACAACAAAAATAATAGAAACAATAATATTTACCTCTGGTAGATTAGCAAACGGGTCTGGAAAGCTGCCCTTTTCACCCTTTGATAGGTGAGAAGGATCAACGTTATTCTCTGTTCCTGAATTTACCAGACGAGCTAAAATACTCATTTGCAATTGCTTACATGTCTTCATAAGCTTTAGAATTTGAGAGTTGATCTCAGCTAAGGTTTTTCTCAAATCATTTGTTTCTTTTCTCAAACCATTTGTTTCTGCACTCATTTGAATTCTAAACTCCTCCTTTTGTTCAACTAAGGCATTATTAATCATATGTTGGACTTTGTCAATTGGTACTAAGTTTTCATGGCGTGGTAAAGGCCCAAAGAACTCCCTTACTCCAGTTCCGTGTCCCACGACTCTAACACGACCCGGATGCTCATCTTTTTCCAATGCAGAAGGCAATATATCTGTTCGTTTGGATTGTGTGAATTCTCCTTGAGAAGATGCCACTTTTAAAGAATCCTATAACATATAAACCACATATTAAGTATTTGTATTTGATTCAAATAACATATTCAATATATAATTAGTAAATATAACTACAACTTTACTTACAACTTTCTCAGCAACCAATCTACTCTCTTCGGTGATAAAATTTCCCGAATCATCCATTCTAGCTCTTTTCCACATTTCGTGTCTGCGTGGTGGAGATGGAGTTGAAACTATTATGGACGGGTCAGACATTGCAGCTTCTTCTTGTTGCTTCAACTTCTCTTTCATCATTTTTTCCTCCATTTTCTGATACCCTGTGCGTGACAAACAATGCGGGTGCACATTTTTTTCATCATTATTAGTAATTTTGTACATTTGAGTGACGCCCATGATGTCGCTCTTCCTCTTACAAAGAGAAGTAGTCCTATCACTACCCTGAGTAGTAGTATAAACAGAAGGATCATTTGAATTTTCCATGTGCCTGTTTGGAAAACAAATATAAAAAACATAAGATATATGCGTTAGATTTATAGAACAATTGTACTAATTTAAATACAGACCACGGTGTGGGCAATCACCGGATGCACAAGCGAAAGCTGAAAGCAAGAAAAAAAAAAAAAAAAAAACAAAAAGAAGAGAGATCTTACCTCAATGCACCAACCAAAGAAAACTGAAAAGTTACAAACGTCAAGGAAGAAACCACGAATGGGGCTAATAACCTATAACAACAACAACTAAGTTATCTTATTTAAAAATAAAAAATAAAAAATAAAAAAAAAGATTTTAAGAAGGATATGCTTATTTGAGTCAACAAAGTTTATTGAAATATAATTACAAAAGAAATATTTAATGAATTTGCAAGTCTTTCTACAACAAATCACAAAATTGACAGAGAAACTCTGTATATTGGAAACTGCAATGTTATAAAATGAGAAGTATTGCGCGAACAAGGACAGCATTTAATATCATTTTGAACTGTTATCAATGAGCACAACACACGTGTCTTATGACCTTAATTTTCCCTATTCCTCTGTAAATTTTGAATGGTTGGTTATTAGCCTTGCAAGGCAGTCATGTTTAACAACTTTATATTACTCTCAGGAGGTGTTTTCCAGTAGGTCACACAAGACACGACATTTTCAAAAAATATGGACTTCAACTCATGGTGGTTGCCAGTAGCTTTCTCAATCCATAACTCTAAATGTTACTCTATTAACCCACATACTAAAGGTATGATACACACATTTGCACAACCATATTACACATAATTGCTTAAATTCAATATAGAACTTACGTTTCTCAGATCTGGAACCTGTAGGGCAGTAATTCCTGACGACTGGGACGCAGTGGAGTCGATGGCGACAGCTGCAGTAGAGACGTCGGCGACAACTGCGTTGGAGACGACGGCGATGGGCTGCCGTGGAGAAGACGGCGCAACTGCGATGGAGACGGCGGCGACAGGAGGGAGTAGAGACGACGGCACAGGAGAATACACGGCTAAGGCAATGAAGGAAAATTTTGTCAAAAAATTTGGACAGTTTAGGATTTACGTGAAACCGCCGTCTATAAGGAATATAAGGGTGAAATAAACCTTCCAACTACACCTGAAAATAAAGTTAATTACTGATTTGATCACTTGATTACGAGAATTTCACTATTTTGATTCTTAATTTTTAAAATTGATCAATTTAATTCTCAATTATACAATTTTTACCCGAAATGATCCTAGGTACAAACTGTCTTTAGTTAGACATTAAAACTGAGGACAGAAATGTAATTTCACTTTATTTGCCTTCCAGGTGTAGCCGGTTTAATCTCAACTCTATGGCTATGTTTGCAGAGCGAAAAAAAACCCCTCCAAAATCTAACCCTAATCGCAGGCGAAGTGCAACGCCCAAAGCCAGGGGAGAGGGGGAAGGCGACGGCGATGCCAAGTGATTTGAGGCCGTGTTTGGCTTTTTTTCACTTTGTTCTGGCTGTGCCGTTCATCTCTGTTGTCTCTTGGGGGGTCGTCAGTTGTTTTCTTTCTTCTACGATTGTTGTTCTGTGTTTGAGTTGTTGGGTTGCCATGGAGATGATAATAGGCTTGTGGTACAATGGACGAGAGGGCAAAAGAATCGGAGGAGCTGAGAGGAGCCAGTGAGGAAAGCAATCCGCCCATCTCTGTCGCTACCGCTACCGCTGTCACCGTCTGTACTACCTTCTCCGACGATAAACCTGATTCAGACCCGAACTCAGCTCCAGATTCCACCCAATCCTTCCTCTCTCGTTTCTCTGAATCTAAACAATCAATTGAGTTGGAACTATCTCGGATCCACAAAACCCAAGACCCTCAATCCGACCCAAATCTCAAATCGGAACTGGATAAGGTCTCAACTTCAATCGCAACTCTCGAAAAGCAATCCATCAGAGCGTTCCGGCGGTACAGCCTCTCTCTCTCGTTCATCGACTTGAAGATGAAGAATATTGAGGGGGATTTCCTATTTTACCCTTGCATTTTGACGGTAAAATAGACTGAGGACCATTTTGGTTAACGTTTTCATAGTTGAGGATGCAATTGGTCAATTTTGAAAGTCGAGGACCAAAGTGGTGAAATTCTCATAGTCAAGGGACCAAATCGATAATTAACTCCCTGAAAATACAATTGGGCCACTCAACTAAAAAAAACTGCAATTAACCCCTCAAACAACTGAATTTCCTACAATCCTACCAATTTACCGGTTTTGTCATTTCCAATCGGTTACCATTCCAGCTAGATGCTTAGGTGTCATTATTAAATTAGTTTCTTTGTTATTTAACCATCTTCAACACCTCACACACTGTACTTGTCATTTAGCTTTGTCCATAGAAGCACACAGGGCAATATATGCATCAGCAATTGCGACTAGTACCCCACGACTTTGCCGGAATACGAAATCAAGGTCTCTTCCACTAGCACAAACACCATCAATTTAACGACATGGGATTCAAGATATCGAAAAAGTGCAGATCCAAAAATGAAGCCATTATCATATAGCCTCTCTATTTCAGCACCACAGAGCATCGCATAGTTGCGAAAACGGTTGAAATTTGCATCCGAAGTCGTCAATTTAGAAAAAAAAACTGGAAAAAAATTAGATGAAATAAAAATCGATGGTTTCAAATTAGCCTAATTCTCGAATATCAAATGACTAAAGAACACAATTAAGTTAAAGTTTCAATATTTCAAATTGCAAGCTAAACAAAAAGACTAGATTATAACTGATTTTTTTTTTTAAAAAAGTTTAAGCTATACAGATTTGAAAATGAACCTTGATGGAGACCCTAATCGTTATGGCTCAGAATGACGGCGAAAACCCTAATCTTTATGGCTCAGAATTAGAGTTTAGACAATTCAGGCAAGAGCTTGGTTTTCTAGCATTCCGAAGTATAAAACTAGAGTTGAACAAATCAAAATTTCAAATATAGTTATATAGCTATCATTGAAAATCAGCAAGCCAGGTAGTTTTACTCTGGTGATGGAGACCAACGTGACGCCAAAGTTAAAAGTTGTAGTCCTGTGGAAAGAAGATCATGAGGGTGGAGATACCAAAGAATATTGTGGAAGTTTTTGAGATGGAATGAAAGATGCCAGTATCGACTATAAATTTGATAGTGAGAGACATAGATATGTAGCTGGAGTTGGAAAGCTTCTTGCTATGTTGATATGGAATTGAGGTGGCGATGGTGAAGCCGATAACGAAGAATAGTGGAGTTTGCAGTGAATAGAGAAAGGACACGTTGACATCTAGTTGGGATGATAACCGGCTAAAAATGACAAAATTGACAAATTGGTAGGATTGTATGAAATGAAGTTGTTTGATGGGCTAATTGTAGTATTTTTTAGTTGAATGGCCTAATTGTAATTTTAGGTATAGTTCAATGGTCTATTTGACCCTTATTTCAAAAAAATAAAAAAAAATAAAAGAATATATCATATCTCCCTCTCTCCCTCTATAATAAAACAAGAGAAATTTTCACTTTTAGTCCCACGAGTATGTGGTCATTTCCACATTTGATTCCTGACTATTGAAATTTCTAAATTTAGTCCCACGACTTTGAAATCCCTACCACTTTGGGGTGTGTTTGGTTGGCAGGTTTATCATTAAGGTATGGGTATAAAAGTGATTCTTGTTGTTTGGTTGACTGGTTTTTAAAATACTACTATGGGTTTGGAATACTCCATTAGTGGAAAAACCTATTCCCTTATTTTATAAGGGTTTCATCCCATTATTCATTTTTAGCGTAATCATTCTCATTCCACCCTACTACCAAACATGCAAAATACTTCACCAAAATCAACTATCATTACCAAGTATTTGATACTCATTCCAATTCCGATTCCCATGTGCAAACCAAACACACCCTTAGTCCTTCAGATCAAAATTCCAGCCACCGATGGTCATTTTTCCGGCGAGTGAATTATATTATGGGCAAAATTGTCTTTTTATACTAAAATTATGTTTACCCAAAATCCTTTCTTCTTCCAAACCTCACTCCCCTCTTTGCAGCCCTCTTCCCCCCCCCCCCCCCCCCCTCCCTTCTTCTCATATTTTTTGTACATAAGATATCAAAACTCGTTGATCATTTTTTATTATTCCGGATTCTATTTTGGTATTTCTCGGTTAACAAATTTGTTTTTCTTTTGCTGTATATTAATTGAATCTATGCAGTTATGAGGTTAATAACTGAAATATTGGCCTTGTTTGGCAAATCAACGGTAGCGATGAGCGTTAGCGGATCATATTAGCGCAGCAGGCAGTGACCGATTATTTAGCCGTGGAGGGCGAACTCGAAGTCTTGTTGAGGCAGGAGGAGGTATTGTGGTTGCAACGGTCAAAACAGTTATGGCCAAAGCACGGGGACTCTAATACGAAGTTCTTCCATAAGGTTGCTTCTGCTCGTCGGAAAAGAAACCAATTGCAACGTGTGAAAGATCAGAAAGGGACTTGGTTGGAGGGAGAGGCAATGCATGCTGAAGTAGTAAGGTACTTTAATCTTATATTATGTGCGGGGAATAGCAGCTATAATCTCTGTAACCGTGTGCGGCGTTGTGTAACAGACGAGATGAATATCTCTCTAGTACAACCGTTCACGATAACAGACATTAAAGCTGTCATGTTCTCAATGGCCCCGGAGAAAGCGCCGGGACCGGACGGCATGTCCCCAGCGTTCTACCAACATTTCTGGCCAGTTATCGGCCACGATTTGTCTATGTTTATCCTACGTTGTGTGGCAAACCGGGAATTTCCACTGGGCCTGAATGAGTCAAATATTGTGCTGCTTCCGAAGAAGAAGGTACCGGAAAAAGTAGCCGACCTGCGTCCTATAGCTCTCTGTAATGTGGTTTACAAAGTGCTAGCCAAGATGTTGGCTAATAGATTAAAAGTCACTTTGGGTCAAGTGGTGTCACGGACTCAAAGTGCTTTCGTTCCTGAGAGATTGCTAACTGATAATATTATTGTAGCAAGGGAAGTGGGATATTTTCTGAGAAGGAAAACGAGTGGGGCTATTGGGTGGGTGGCTTTGAAACTGGACATGGCTAAGGAGTATGATAGAATGGAGTGGGGTTTTGTAGAGGGGATGTTGTTGGCACAAGGTTTCGATCAGAGTTGGGTGGGTTTACTGATGTTGTGTATTTCTATCGTTAGCTATTCCATTAAGGTTAACGGGGAGGAGGCCGGTACAGTTCTTCCCACTCGGGGAATTAGGCAAGGAGACCACTTGTCCCCTTATTTATTCATCTTATGTGCCGAAGCTTTGTCGATTCTTTTACAATGAAAGGAGGCCAGTGGGGGTATTCACGGGTGAGGGTGGCACGGGGGGCCTCGTCTGTCATGCACCTCATTTTTGCTGATGATAGTTTACTATTTTTCAGGGCAAACCACCAAGAAGCTTCACATATCAAAGAATGTTTGGATCAATACTGTGAGGCGTCGGGGCAATTAATCAATTTCGACAAGTCTAGTGCTGTATTCAGCGCTAATACCAGTGCCGAGACTCGGAGGTTGGTGACTGATTGTTTTGCTGTTCAAGAATCGAAGGACCTTGGGCGATATCTTGGCCTTCCTTCAGTGTTAGGAAGGAATAAAAGTGCTACGTTTCGATATATCGAGGAACATATTCGAGAGAGAATAGGGTCGTGGCAAAACAAACTGCTTTCCAAGGCTGGTAAAGAGGTATTGCTTAAGAGCATAGCACAATCTCTTCCTATTTTCACTACGTCATCCTTTTTACTACCGATTCATGTCTGCGACACGATCGAGAAGCTTTTCAATCGTTATTGGTGGGGGGCGGTGGAGGAGGTAACAGGGGGATACACTGGTTGAGCTGGAAATGGCTTTTGTGAACCAAAGTGTAAGGGTGGGCTAGGTTTCAAGCTTATTCATGAGTTTAATAAGGCGTTACTTGCAAAACAGGGATGGCGCTTGCTAATTCACCCAGAATCGTTAGTAAGTAGGATACTCAAAGCCAAATACTTCCCTTCTTGTGACTTCATGGAGGCAAAATTAGGGGGTAATCCTAGTTTTCTTTGGCGGAGTATCCTGGCGGGGCAAGAGGTTTTAAGGATGGGGGTGGCTCGAAGGATAGGGAATGGCGAGGAAACTAAAATATGGGGCTGGGGTTGGCTATCAAATTCAGCGGGTACTTGTCTAATAGCTCCATGTATTGAAGAACTAAAGGAAGCTAAGGTAAGAGGGCTTATGGATGAGCATGGTCAGTGGGATGTAGAAGTGTTACGGGATATTTTCTGTCCGATTGATGTTCAAAATATCCTCGCAACTCCTGTGAATGTACATGTAAAGGATTCTTGGCGGTGGATGGATGACACACGAGGATGCTATACGGTGAAACATGGGTATAGGTTGCTCACGGCTAGCTCAACAAGGGAGAATAATGACGCCATGTTTAAGTCGTGGAGGAGACTGTGGTCTGTGCCGGTTCCACCCAAAGTGAGAAATCTGCTATGGCGTTGTGCTTGTGGTATTCTACCGGTTTCGTGAAAATCTGAAGCTTAAACATGTTTGGATTGGGGGTGGGCGTCCGTTTTGTGAGGATATGTTGGAAACCAGTGAACATATTTTCTGCGAATGTATCTGGGCTAGACGGCTTTGGGGTGAAGACGACGTACTTCAAGGACGTTGTCTTCAAAGTTTGATGGAATCAGTTTTGAGCAGCTCAAACGAGGAGAGGGCTGTCAAGTTGGCTGCCATAATCTGGACTATTTGGACTGCACGGAATGAGGTGATTTGGAGGCAAGCTTCGCTGTCAATAGAGAGTCTTCGTGGCCAAGTTGAGAGACTGCGATTAGTGTGGAAGGAGGCTTTCATCACCGATAGGCAACGGGTGATCGACCAGGTATGCGTGTCTCGTTGGATACCACCACCACATAATACGTTGAAGTGCAATGTGGACGCAGCTCTGTTTGAAGACGGGGCAGGCTTTGGAGCAGTAGTTCGAGATCACGAGGGCCGCTTTGTCGCAGCACGTAGCGGTAGAATTGTATGTGACTGAGATCCTTTCATGGCGGAAGTTGTAGCAGCTAAAGAAACGTAGTCTGGTTGACAAGGTTACAACGGTGCCGTATTATTCTAGAGTCAGATTGTTTAAATTTTTGTAATTCTTTCAATTCTCGTTTGGTAGATTATTCGTATGTAGGTCTGGTCATTAAGCAAAGTGTGTCGATTGCTAGAGACATAGGGGACGTCCAAGTCCAACATGTGAAGAGATCAGCGAACCGAGTGGCTCATGAACTTGCCCGGGCAACTGGTTCTTCGTTTGTCTCAAAATCGTGGGCTGTTATCCCACCTGCGTGTATTTCTGGTTTATTGTGTTTTTAATGGAATCGTCGTTTGTTTTGTTCAAAAAAAAAAAGTTTGATATTTGTTTAATTTTCCTATCAGTAACCACTTGTTGACTTTCATATTTGCATCTCATAGAATGTAGAAAATTCTTCATCAATAAATGCCGAGTCTCAAAGCATAGACCATTGTTACAAGGTTAGCTGATCACGTGTTGGAAGCACATATCATGTGCGGTACAAATGCAGGAACCAAAGTATTAATTCCAAGAATGTCACTAATACCGTCAAATCCAAGATTGCCATTCACATTCCAACGAAAGCAATTTCCTTTGATTCTATCATATGCCATGACAATAAACAAAAGCCAAGGACAAACACTTTCAAAAGTGGGATTGTTTTTTAAAAGGCATGTCTTTGATAGGAATATTTTTGTAATAAGTTTTGATGAGCCAAATGTACTTTAGATCCCCTTAGATGTTAGGTCTTTAGTATAAGCATCATATTCCAGAATTTCGAGTCAAAGGAAATCGACCATGTGAAGAACAAAATTAATTTGGAAAATTAATTTTGGTCCTACAAGTATTCATTCGAGAAAAAAACATAAAGGAATGGCGTTGCAACAAATGACTGGATGAGCCTAACGGCAAAATGGTAGAAGTCTTTATATAAAACGATTATACCTGAGATTGATCGCTCCCAAGGACTTATTTTTGATGTGTACAAGCACGATGTGTCCCAAGGAACACAATGTTCTTAAGGGTCACGATGTGACCTAATCAAAAAAGCACAATGTTTAAGTCAAACAAGCAAGATGTGCCAAAGTCAAACAAGCACAATGTGTCTTCTGAAAAGCAAAAAGTGACAAAGAAGCAAGATGATCAGAAAATGGATAAATTCGAAGGAATTTATTTTGAATCTACCCACATGCCACAAGAGTCCAAAATTGCCTAAAGATATGATCAGAACGGGAGAAATATTTATGAAGACATGAATATAAAAACTTATCCTAGAAATAAATTCTATCAGAAGGATTTATTTCAAAGATACGTTGGAAATTAAAAAATGACAAAAATAATAATATTTTAGAAACAACTTGAAAATCAAGTTGAGATAAAATATTATCTTGTCATGCAAGTTGACAATCAAATCATATTGAAGACCTACCATTGTCAACAATATCAGGCTATGAAGATTCAAAATTCAAATATCAAATTATCCCACTCCAACGGATATATTTGGTTATCTATAAAAAGGCCATGAAGACTTGAAGAAAGCATAGAGGTGAATACAAAAAGGAGACGTGAATACACACGAGATAAACAAGTGCAAGTGCTCAAATATTCTTTAGAGACTTAGTCTGAATAGTCTCAAAATTAAAATAGTTGGAGAGAGATACAATTACCTTTGTATTTGTAATTGTTAGAAGAGTATAACTGTGTGCAAGATACTCTAGTGAGTGTAGCTGTTTGCAAAACACTCGTGGTTGCTAAGTGTAGCTGTGTGCAAAACACTTAGTTGGCGTTGAGTATAGCTGTGTGCGAAATACTCGTAGTTGAGTGTAGCTGTGTGCGACACACTCGGAGTTGGGTGTAGCTGTGTGCAAGACATCCGGAAGAAGTGCTTGTGTAGCGCTTATTCACTATTGTAACTGTGTGTG